ATGTAGCCGATTTTGAGTTAGTTGATGGTCTTGTTTATAAGAGAAATGCTGAGGAAAAGTTGTGTCTGTATGCACCACAACGTATGCAGAATAAATTAATCAGGAACTGCCATGAGATGATGGGTCATCTTTCTGCAGATAAGTGTGCCAATGATATAAAAAGAAAATATTGGTTTTCCTTAATGAAAGGCAAAATATAGACATATATTCGAAACTACCTGCCCTGTATCCTGCATTCAGTTCCGAGAACAATTCACTACAAAGCATTACCATACAGCTCTACTGTATTATGTCCTATCGAAAAGTAAGTCGTTGAATGATTCCGAGGGGAATCCGTGTGACCTGGTAGAGTTGAACAATGTAATTATTATAGCCCGTAAGAAAATCCCAATAGAACCTCTGGTTGGATTAGTGGGAGCTACACCAGAAGATATCGACTTATTGTTACAGACTGAACAAATGAGAGATTTGGATGTACATGTATTGCGTGAGAAATGGCTATGTAGCCAATATTGAGTTAGTTGATGGTATATAGTATAAGAGAACTGGTGAAAAAAATGGTGTCTAAATGCACCAGAAGGTATGCAGAATAAGTTGATAGGGATCTGCCATGAGAAGTTGGGTCATTTTTCTGCAGATAAGTGTGCCAATGATCTGAAAAGAAAACACTGGTTCCCCTTAATAAAAAGCAAAATAGAGTCATATATTAGAAACTGACTGACCTGTATACTACATTCCGTCCCGAGAACAACAAATCACTACAAAGCATACCAAAAAAGGCTGTTCCGTTTGATACACTTCATATTGACCATTTAGGCCCATTGCCCAGCATTATTTCAAAACAGAAGCATTTATTAATGATTATCGATGCATCTACCAAATTTGTCAAATTGTACCCGGTTAATTCTACTAGTACTAGAGTAGTGAATGCCTCATTGGAAAAATACTTTGAATATTATAGCCGCCCCCGGCGCATTGTATCTGATCGAGGCACGGGTTTTACATCTCAGGAGTTTGCTAGTTTTCTTGAAAGCCGAAATATTCGGCATGTTAAAGCAGCGACTGCTGCTCCGCAGGCTAATGGACTAATGGTAAGGTTGAACGTGTAAACCGAGTCCTAACTCCGACGTTGGGAAAATTATCTGAGCCACTAAATCAATCTGACTGGTATAAATTGATAAGCCCAGTTGAGTTCGCCATTAATAATTCGGTACAGTGCAGTATGGTAGAACACCGTGTATATTACTATTCGGCTGTGGTCAGCGTGGGCCTTTAGTAGACGAGCTGACAGAATGCCTTGAAGATAAATTCAGCTGCCGACATGAAGCATGTGCAAATATACGAAAATCACAAGAACGTAATGAAGCCCAATATGCCTTAAGACATAGGGCACCTCCCAAATACTAAGTTGGAGATTTTGTTGCGATACGTAACGTTGACGTCGCAGTAGGACCCTGCAAGAAGTTTTCGCCCAAATACCGCGGGCCTTACAAAATAAACCGAGTGGTTTCTAATGACCGCTATGAGGTCACCGAAATTGATGATTGTCAGCTCACCCAGTTGCCACATAAAGGAGTTCTTGAATCAGCTGGCCCTATGTCGGGGATGCTTGTGTGTGATAAAACAGTAGGTCTTTGTTTGTGAATAATGTAATGATCGGGGTCGATCAAATGTCAGGATAGGCCGAATGTAAACAGTGAACATTAATGTAAACTTTTAAAAGTCAACAGTGTTGTAAAGTGTAAGTATAATATTATAAGACATATATGTATATGTATTTTAAAAATAGAAGTTGGGCACTCTAGAAAAGACGAAGAAGAGAACACGTAGTGACGCTGACTCGAAAAACTAATAGAAAATGGAGAACGAGTTTTTAAAAATAAAGAAGAAGATTACATCTTAATGATATGCTGATGGCGGGACCTATAATTCAACCATATTGTTTCACATCCTGATCCGATTTCGCACGTTCCCTGTTGATGTGACAGCTAACATTTGCAAAATGTATCGGTTTGTCGGAGTGACTTTGTGCATGTTGCTGGGGGGCCCTCAGCATGTCACTAAAAGCTTCAAATTGGATACTTTGACATATGGCATCATTTCAGACCATGCGCGCAATGTACCAGTTGGCCATTGATGTAATGCATTTCCGATTGGATCGGATTCCATCAAGCAGGAGTCTTACGTTGACGATTTTATATCAGGAGCCAACTTAATTTCTAGAGCCAGAGAGAATATACGTTAGAGAGCCGGTTTTTTTTTCTCGTGGCATTTTCAAGCTTCGAAAGTGGTGTTCCAGTCAGCAAGAAGTGCTTGATGGAGTAACTGATCAAGATGGGGAACAATATTTAAACTTCAATGATGGGAGCGATGTCACAAAGGCCCTCGGCTTTTTATAGGATCCAGCGACTGATCAGTTGGTATTTTAACTTACCTAGAGTGGTGCTTTTCGAAGAAGCTAAAGTTGAAATTCATGGAGGCCTATGGAGCCTAAATCTACGTGGTGGCGAGAAGTCCTCTAGCCACAAATGGAATCGTTTGCTCCAGGTCTCGAGTTGCACCGTTAAAAACATTTTCTGTCCCAAAGCTGGAATTATGTGGAACGAAGCTGTTGGCTAATCTGATTCATGAGGTCAACCGCACAGGCATCTTCGACAGCCAGTTCTATTGCTGCTGCGATTCGTCCGTGGTTCTATCCTGGATTAAAATAAGCGACAGTATGGAATGGCGATATGTTTCGACGGACAGAAATCCAGCTGACTTCCTTTTTAGTAGTTGAGCTCCCGACGAACTAGTTCAATCGGAGCTCTGGTTTTATGCGGACTTAACTCTTGGATGCAAGCACAGAAACACATGTTGCTCCACGCACTGGAATCGATTATTGCGGACCTTTCTTCTTTAGGTCGGAAATTCATATGAGTCCGCCCATCAAATGCCACGTTACCGTTTTCAGCTGAACCTATCGATTGATACATTTTTGAGTGCCCTAAAACGATTCAACGTAACAAACTTCGTTGGAGCGAAGAACGAGCTGGTATATTTTATACGTCTTATGCTTAACGATCCTCGCATGGAAGCAGTTCTGCAGCTCTGATATAGACTGGAAATTCATTCCCCTTCGTTCTCCGCACTTTGGTGAACTATGGGAGGCGGCAGTGAAACCGGCGAAACTATTTCTATCACTCTGTCGGCCGTTCGATGCTTAATTTTGATGAGCTTCGCACCTTGTTTGCCAAATTACAGCTGTTGTTAACTCACGCCCATAACTCTCGCTTTCAGAGAACCCAGCAGATCTAGATGTCATGACTCCTGCTCATCTACCGTTTGGTAGTCCCTTAACAGCCATTATCGAACCTGATTTAACAAAACAAAACTACAAACGCTTGGATGAATGGTAGAGGTGTTGTGGACTGGGTAGCGTGAAGAGTACATCACTTTGCTGCAACAGCAAGCTTAATGAAGTACTCTAGCACAAGCGTTGTGTGTCCATGACATGGTGCTCGTTAAAGATGAAAATCTGCCTCCCATGCGGTGACCGCTGGGTAGGGTAGTAAATCTGATTCCTGGCAAGAATGGAATATCTCGCATTAGCATTAGTAAACACTCATGCAAACATAACAAGTAAGAGGCTCCAGACAGGAGTTCCCGACTAGGGGATCCTCTGAACCCTCTTCTACCAACACCAAATGCAGCTCGGCCTAGGCGCTCGTTTTCTTCGGCAGTAATAACAACAACAAATCTTGTGGAAATTTTCAACAGTAGATCTTATTGTGCTATAGAATATTTGTATGTTCTCAAAATAAATTGTGGCTTAAATTGATGGGCAATACAAATTGGTTTATTTACTTGATTGATAGATATATGGGCAGGTGGCGATAGCTTAAAAATAAAAGATACTTGATGTATATATACTATTCTGGAAGCTACATGTCAAGTTTGGTGACTCTAGCTCTTATAACTGACGAGATTTTCTCATAAAACAGGATTTCGATATCGATGTTTATCGATAAATTGGGAGAAGTTATTGATTATCGAAAACTCGTACTAGGCGGGCACTAGGAGGACCTACATTACAAATTTTAAGTCTCTAGCTCTTATAGGTTCTGATATCCTTGCATTTATACATTCGGAGAGACGGACAGGCCCTCGGACAGACGGACGGACACACAGACGGACATGGCTAGATCGACCTGGCAATTGGTGCTGATCAAGGATATATATACTTTATGGGGTCTAAAATGCTTCATTTTAATGGGTACAGGGTTTAGTTTCGTACACGTAGCTTAGCGAAAAAGCTGTTTGTTGTGAACAAGGTTGGCAAGTCTCTCTTGCACTTGTCGCTGCTGCTATAAAATGCATATTCTTTTTTATCTCACCCTTTTTCGTTGTTTATCTAGGCGAAGCAAAGAAATTGTGCTGAAACACAGCCAAATAACTTTATAAACGAATATATATCTTTCGATTAATAAACGCAATTAAACGTGTTTTGTGAAAAGGCAATTTCTTTAAATGCTTTAATTCTTGCATCTAGTTTCAAAACAGTTGTTAAAAAGATTGGAAACTCAACAGTGACCGTATTGACTTTACGATAATCGCCACACGAGCGATAACCACTAGCAGCAATGGCCTACTGCGAGGGTTCTTTTAAGGGCGAAACGGGGCGAATTTAACATATTTGCTGTCGGCTTTTTTGCAATAAAAATTTTTCAAGCTTTCATTTACCTAGTTTTACTTAAGTAAGAGTCTGTTTTTATAGGGATCATGTGTTCAGCTAGCATTTTTATATTTTATTTAAATCGACCGTAAGCCCACTCTCATTACTGCATCTAGTTATTTATGAAATTGTGTTTATTTTGATTGTTTCTTCAATTACGATTGTCTGGTTACTTAATAACTAATTGCTAAGATGTTTATAGTTCGTTACTGAAACTTAAATATTTGGAAATTCGTTGGCAGCTGTCATGTATAACATATATTAAGTTGAAAATTAAAACATTATACTTATAAATATTATTTATATATAAATATATATATTTTTACATTTATTCTGTAGAAATTACCTTCCAAGTTGCTGCATTTCTCCGGAAGTAACAAAATGTGTTTTGGAACCAATTATATATTTCGTTTAGTGTCAACTGCTTGTCAGGTGAGTCAATGATAGCCTTTAGTAATATAAAGAAATAAAAATATCGCTTTAAATATTTTGATTGGTACTCTGTTAATAACAACACTAACAGCATAAAACGGCAGGAATTTAATTGGCACTATGCATTGGACAAAACGCGGTAGCTGTACAGAATTTCTGAGACAATCATTTTTGTATGGAAAAATATTCGGTTTTCTAAAATACTTTCAATACAGTCAGCATATACGAGCTTTTCTATCCTCACATACCTTTAAGCCTTAAGGCAAATGTCTACAAGGGTACCCAATCTTCGGGGTACGGAAACTATCCGTACTTTCTAGTTCTTAATAATTTCAAAGTTTTTCTTGTTATAAAATCGCAAATATAACGATCGATAAGTTTAAGAAGACACAATTAAACAGCCTTCAAGTAGGTACGCTTCATTTTATACTTCTAAAGAATCTTCAAATATTTTATATTAAATAGGCGTCGAACAAATTAATGGTGTAAATTCATGAACAAATGACTAGGATAACTAAATCAAATGTTTTTTTTTTCAATTTAGGCATACAAGCTCTTGTATGCCAAAGTGTTTCTCCTAATACTTACTAGTTTTATTATGCTCCCTACATATAAAAAAAAACTTGTATCAATATCAGACGACTATGAACTATGAAACTTAAACAAGTATAGGGTTCTAGTCGGGAGCTCCCGACTGGGGGATACCCTGAACCCTCTTATTCCAACACGGAATGCAGATCGTGCTACGCGCTCGTTTGCTTAAGTAGTATTAAAGATAAATGAATAAAAATAAAAGAAAAGTTCCCTTGGCAGGGTTCGAGCTCGCAACTGACCGCATTAATTGATACCGCTTCTACTCAACAGCCAAACAAGCCAAAAAAAAAAAAAAAAAAAATAGTTTCCTCGGTAGGGTTCGAACCCACTACAAACTGCACTTCATGCCGAAACCTCTGCTCAACAGCCACACCAACAATTGCGTCTCAGTGAGAAAACAAATCAATTTAAATAGCAGTACAGAAAACAATACAATCGCAATTGCAATGCTGTTGATAGAATTCAAAGCAGACGCGCATGAATGTGTGTGTGTGTACATGTATACAGAAATTCTTGGAATTTGCGTTAGCTGCTGCTAACACGTGCGCACATAACTTTTGTGTTTCTTAACCAATCTTAATGAAATTTTCGACAGTACATCATATATTTGTGTATTCTCAAAAACTCAGTTGCATATAGTTTTTGGCTTACACTGGTAAGCAATACAGGTTGGATTATTAACTTGATTTTTAGCTGTATGGGGGCAGCGGACAGGTGGCGATAGGTATAAAATGAAAGATACTTGATATATATATACTATTCTGGAAGCTACATGTCAAGTTTGGTGACTCTAGCTCATATTAGTTACCAAAATTGCTAAAAAAACAGGATTTCGATATCTGTTTTTATCGATTACTTATAAACGGAGCAAGTTACCGAATATCGGAAAAAAAAACTCGATCTGCGCGGGCATTAGGAGGTCCTACAGCTTAAATTTCAAGTCCCTAGCTCTTATATGTTCTGAGACCCTTGCGTTTATCCATACGGACGGATGGACGGACAGACAGACGGACGGACGGACGGACGCACAGACAGACGGACGGACAGACAGACGGACATGGACGGACAATATTTAAAAATAAGTTTCTTTGGCAGGGTTCGAGCTCGCAACTGACCGCATTACTTGCTGCCGCCTCTACGCAACAGCCACACCAGCCAAAAAAAAAATAATAGTTTCTTGGGTAGGGTTCAAACTCGTAACTGATGGTGCTACTTTCCGCCGCCTCTACTCAATAGCCACACCAACAATTAAGTCTCAATGAGAAAAAACGAATTCAAATAGCCGCACAGAAAACAATACAATCGCAATTGCAATGTTGTTGATAGAATTCAAAGCAGACGCGCATGAATGTGTGTGTGTGTGTAACACGTGCGCACATAAGAAGAAGTGCAAGAGTTTCGCATCGATATGGCAAACCCTTTCAATATTTCATATTGCTCGTCCATTTAAAAGGGAAGAAATGCCCCCGAAATTTGAGAAAAAATTTAAATTGTGCTCATTTTTGCTTGTGCGGACACACATGAATGTAACGATCCCTAGACATAATGAGAGAGCACTGAGGGTAAGGTAAATAGTTTCCTTTAGTGAAAGCGAGATAAAAAACAGCGATGTCTTTCTACCATATAAATCATATGCATTTCTTACTGCTGTCTGAGCATGGCCCCATTCTTTTACTCTAGTTGTCAAGTCTATGGTCACAGCCAGGGCAAAAACATCGCATAGAGGGTGATGCGAGTAAGTAAGTATGTAAGTATATAGTGTGCCACCAAATTGGGTACTAATCAATATAAGACAATAAAAAAGTGCTGCCCTTGTCAACCGACTGCGAGGCCGCAATCGTGGCGGTCGCATAGTATAAGACCTCCACGAAACGCAAGTTTTGGTAACGAAACAACTTAAACTTACTTAAACAAAAGCGGACGTCAACCGGTGGCTTCGTCATTGTTCCATACCGCACTCGTCCATCCGGTGTTGCTAATAATTTATTTACCCGTCACCACCCTTTAATTTTCGATTTTCAGATGGCACCTATTCGAACGGGATGGACATTATTCTTCCTTCCATTAAGAAATTTAACCGGACATATTTCTTTTCATCCGGTGCGTATAATTGGTCACATACTTATGATAATTACAATAAAATAATATTGACTAAATTACTTTTTCATTGTAGAAAATATTTTTTTACAAACTCATACAAGCCAACAGGTACCAAACGAAAAAACATTGCCAGAATCTGTGGCCGAATGCCGCCAGAAACAACACGAAAAAATATATATTTTTACACCAATGTGGAACAATATACCCACATAAATAAATCTCTTTTATTTGATATATGTTTTATTTTATGTTGCGCTGGAATCGATCAGTGCCTTCTGATCTCTACCAAGCGAATGACTAAGGGAAGGGTGTATAGTTACTATTATGTAACTTATATAAATAAATCTCTATATATAAAACTGTTTGTCCTAACTGACAGATTGACTCACTGACTAAGTGATTGGTGATCAACGTACAGTAGGCTGTAACCGTAAAAGCTAGAAAGCGGAATTTTTCACTGTAGTTACCTTATGTGATGAAGGTGCACGTTAAGACATGGTTTCGAATATTTCCACCCGAATGTGTGGAAAAATCGCGAAAATCGTTTGTATGAATCTTTTTTGTTTACAATCCGACCGGCCTCAAACTAATTTTGAAAGATCTTGCTCAAATTTATTTGAACCATGTTTCACACTATTTAGAAAATGCATTCCTCCTTGGTGGGGGCCAAAGATTTGGCGGGTGACGTTTCGCGCTCAAATTCATTTCCAAGGATTTGTATGGAAAATCATTTGAGACGTATTTTACACTTTTCGCACAATCCAAGATTCCTCGGTAGAAATGCGATTCAAAGATTCAAAGCTCTACATAAGAAGTTAATGAATACGTGCGTTTGGGTAATTCCACCCACAACAGTGGTTGACTAGCGAAAAACGGTTGTACCGGCTTCAAACAATTTTTCAAAGATCTTTGTGAGAATTTATTTGATACGTTGCATAATTATAAAGTTTAATAAACGAAAGTTTATTTTCAGCTTTTCGATTCTCACCGCAAGACTAACATTGGCGGAAATCGTTGATTCCAACACTTGGTTCTATATTCGATGCATTTAAAACATATTTTTAAATAGAAGTGGAGATCAAGATGGGTAGATTTTAATTAACCACTGGGCATGTTCTTGTGGAAAGGTAATCTAAAAATGTTTAGCACAAAACGTTCCTCAGACAAGATGTAATCAATGTAACAATGTAACATCAATGCTGGATCTGTTTGAGGAAGATAACAAAACGTTAGGGAGCGACTATGCAGGAGACGCTCAAATTCGGGGAAACATGGCGCCAAAGGTATTCGAGGCAAGCGTACGTGAGAAATAAAGAGACAGCCATAGTGATGCAATTTCGAAAAACGTACGCACAACCTTGACGGATGAAAGTATTTCACCACATAGCGCGCTCCAAATATCAGAAGGTCACGAAATTCAGCAATTGCAAGAGATAACGAAATTATTGGAAAGCAGAATACGTATAGCCGAGTTGCAGCTATCTATATCAAAAATTGAAAAAGAGGTGGCTGATTTGCAGTCCTTGATGTCAGTCACATCGAAACTCTAGTGCGCAGCTTTTCTGGCGATGATGGCTCGATCGTCCAATGGGTGCGCGACTTTGAAGATGTAATGACCCTGTGCGACATACCAGATGTTAAGAGGTGGATATTAGCGAAAAAATTGCTAACTGGTTCCGTTAAGGCTTACATACACCATATAGCTTCATTGACCTGGATGGACGTGCGTTGCGAACTTCTGAAATTGTTCGAGCAAAGAGTGACAATTTGGGATATAGGCAAGCAGTTGGAGGCGCGTAAGATCGGAAGAGGCGAAAGCGCATTGCAGTACTATGTTGCAATGTGCAGCATAGCAGCGCAAGCAGATATAAGATATTTTGAAAAGCATCAGCTTATGTACCTAGTCATAGCAGCGAAATGTCAAGTGGTCGAGCAACGGGAAGCAAGGCAGCAAGTCAACAGCAAAAAACAAGCGAGATACTTTGCTATAATTGCCGTGGTTTTGGTCATAAAATGAAGGAGTACAGCCAACCAAAGAGGTCAGATGGGACGTGCTTTAAGTGCTGGAGTATGGATCATCAGTATGCGCGGTGTCCTAAGCGCAATACAATTGCAGCAGTGCAAGGCAACGAGGGTACGGGTGAGATGAAAAAATCTGAAGTCAGTCAATACAACATGGGGAAAGTTGAATTGCCGAATTGACTTTCTCATGAAAACTTATATTATTTCACTATATATTGTAGATGATAATATATTACCTCTACCTGTATTATTGGGAAGCGATGCCTTAGAAATAATTGAAGTAAAATTAGTTCATAAGAA